GGGTCAGGTTATTAAATCACCTCCAGGATCTGTCAGCACCTTACCGCTCTACACACACGCAAAAAATCATCTGGGAAAAGCCGGGGCCCTGGGTCGTCGAGGCCGGCGGCTCTGCACGCCTACGAGGCACACAGCGGAACCCTCAGACGGTGCTGCCTCGAGAAACGGGGCCCAGGGAGCCGGCGGAGTCACAGAGTGTCACGGCACCTGCAGGGTTAATTACACAGTTCGAGACGTAACGGCCGCACAAAAGAAAAGCGTCCTCTCTTCTTGAAGAACTATAAACACTTGTGCTGAACGCGATGGGCATTCGATAAGCGGGCAGCACGGAGCAGGCTCGCGGGTCTCCAGTTAACACTCAGATTCAGTGTTAACACTTAATAGAACAGTGTTGAGTCCTGTTGCCAAGGTCAACAGCACAGATGCACTAATTGTATTATGAGCTTGACATCCAGTGGCCACCCCTGGCAGGGCAAAGCCAGCAAAGGTTAAATCAGCAAGGCCTGTCACGGCGCCTCTAACTACCCACCTTCGGGAGAGCCCGGCCAGGCCCCCACACCCCGCAGCCCTGCCTTCCCCAGGCCCCGGGCCAGGCCTGCGGTGCGGCGGGCGGCGCGGGGAGGGGGCCACGGTGAAGCCGGGGCGGACCCGGCTGCCTGGAGAAGACGGGCCCACGGACTACAAGAGTCAGACACCACGCCGATGCCGTCAGGTCTCCGGTGGACGCTTCCGCCGAGGAGGCCCCCTTTAATTAACAAACAGATCAATCTTCTTCTCTAACATAAACAGAGCCCATCATGTCATTTCATTATTTCAGTTAATATTTTACACTTTGTGTAACATGACGTGGCCTGTTTGTCTGCTTGGAAATCACACTGACAGTTAACTGTATTTTAAGTTCTAAAAGTGTTCAAATTACAAGGGAAAAATCTAAGGACAGAGCTTTTTCTTTTTTTTTTTTTTAACACTATAAGAGTGTATTTAAAGCAATATTAAAGCACTCAATTCTTACACATATTTCACATGAAATGTGTGGTGCTCACCACGTGCTGGGCTCCAGCCTGATGATAGTTTGCTCTTATTCTAGCAACTGGTCTAGAAATCACGTAGGAAAACAAAACCTAACAGAATAAAACCAACTTCCTGTTGTATAAATATTATGCAAAGGGTATCCTTCTTAAATCTGCTTGCCAACATTGAGACAGTGCATAGAACCTTATTAGCAGCGAAGACTTACTTTACTTTAAAACCACCACCACCACCACACAAAACCAAGACACCCTGTGTCAATTCTCACAGTTAAGAACGCTGAACTGCTGATGCTCAGTGCACACAACGGACGCCCTGGCTGGATCTCGCCGACTTCCCCGGAATGTACTCAGAGCCACCTGGAGACTGGGAAAGCCTCTGACAGGTTACGGTGGAAAATGAAATCTGACCCACTTTTGCCGGCCTTTGCCATCATCTTGTATACAAACAGTAATCAGCTTGTCGTCTTCTTTTTCTGGCTCTGAACGGATCTAAAAATACTGGGTTATGCATGTGTTGTGGAAGTTTTAAACACACATACGAAACCTCTCACTGCTACACAATCCCTTCCTTCTCTGGAAGGAGGGAGTTGGCAAGCTTTTCGCTGACCACCCAATTGTGCCTTTTAAAATAGGTTACAGTTTTAAAATGTTATTTTTAAAATAAATATTTGCAAATTCTTCCTCCCCCCCCCCCCTTAGTTACTTTTCACCTTTCATGTTTCAGAGAAAACAATCTGCCTGAACGTTAGAAAGTGGCTTCTGTATGGTTTCCTTTTGGAATGCTGAATTGTAAATGTGGGGGGGGGGGGGTGCTGGGGGCAGTTCGGGAGGCAAACCTTGCAGATACAGATAAAAGAAAAGAGATCTCTTCGCCGAGGGCTGGTGGCCTTCTTCCCCTTAATTTAAACACAGTCTGTGAATACCACTGGTAAATTCTTAAATCGCATGCTGGCCACATTTAAAAAGATTTTTAAGGTAGCCACAGGACTGTAAGTTGGCAGAAAATAAAAACACACTTTGAAACAATTAGTGCTAACAAAGTACAGGATGGCAAATTGTTTTAAATTACAGTGTCCTTTTGTGGTACCCTAAATACATATTTTGTGTCTAATGACAATAAAATCTTTATTAAGTTGTATTTAATACAACAAAGGACAGCAGTGTCACACTTTTAAAAGTTCTTGGTAGGGGCATACGTGCCTTTCCGGCAGAAGTCTTAATTAATTTCTTGTTAGAAGAAAAACATTCAGCTGGCTCAAAAGATTTCATTATTGATGGCATACATTTAACTGAATTCTGGAGCTGCATCACATTCAGAAACAGGAATGAAATGATTTGCCATTTCAGAAGACAGTTCTTACAGGGAATGTGAACTCTCAGGCATCCTTGAAATAAAATTTTACAGCAGGGTAACTTTAGAACTTACCATTGGCCATCACTACTTTTTTCTCATTTTAGATATGTTATCATATTTCATTTCTGCCATGATAAGCTTTGGGGAACACTGGGGCTTTTCTGGATTGCTACCATTTCATTGCCTAAAAATCCAAAGCCTAAGAAACAGTCGTATTTCCTTTTTTAAGGAATAAGCTCTTTGTACTGTAAATTAATATGACTGCATGGTCGCCCTCCCCCTTCTTGAACTAAGAATTCTGCATCTGTTTGTTTTTCCCGGCATTATCGATAACCTTCCATTTTACTTCGTGCATCTACTGTTCTCATTAATATGTCACGCCCAAAGTAATACAAAAAAACTATTTACTTTGTTTCTACCACGCAGCAAACTAACTTAGCTCTCTCATAACTTCACCCACGGTCTGTTTATTTCCACGGCATTTAACAAAATTAAAATTTCGAGGATTATCTGATTCATGTTGGGAGCAAGGGAGTTTTCACAAGCATTGCTCTTAAAAAAATATTTTCGTTATCTTACTAATGACGATCACGACAGAGTAACACGTCCAAAAGCATTCCTTGAGTGAGCAGAGAACAGACTATCTTTTATACTCCACGAACAATCAGCTTCAGAATAATTAAATCAGAAAGAAGTATTTTTTAAACAGTTTGCCTAAAGTACCCTTAAAACAATCCAGGAAACACACCACTTGAGCAGGCTCAGCCCCAGACAGGCTATTTCTGGCCTGTTGCAAAATATGACCAGGAACTGTGGCAACATCTTGACTACAATTCCCAACGACTGTGAAAAACACAAGCCTGACCAACTTTAATCCGACGACGGATGAAAAAATGCGAGCCCGCTTCACCACTAAATAAATTCGGTAACGAGAAGAATTCAAAAGCGAACTTGTAAATAATTTACTCCATCCTAGGTTTTCAAATACAGGCTACACATCCCTCAACATGTTTACACTATTAGGCTCGCCACACTCTCATTTCTGACGTGAAATTAAAAATGAATAGCAGTGCCTCCGCTTAATTGTTAAATACAAGGGGTTTTACTCTATTAATTAAAATATGCTTTAATAAAAGGAGACGTTGCACATTTTGATAAGGACCCTACAAAGCGGAGAAGTATTTACATTGTTGCATTTTGGGGCGGCTGTGAAAGCCCAGTTTAAGCTATTCACGAGGCACAATAATAAAGCTTTAAAATTCCTCACTGGGATGCAATGTAGTTCTTTTGAAGGAAAGACTGTCTTTCTCATTCGGCAGAAATAAATCCATTCATTTGATCATGTAGTCATTGAGGCCAATACAAAACAAACCAAGTGTGAGAAATTCTATGTGATGAAGTAAACAAAACAAAAAAAAATCCATTTCCATGACAAAAAGATTCTTTGTCCTTAATCTACCCACCATATGCAAGCGTTTCTTTTTAGCATATCTGCTGCTCTAATCTCGGGTGACGGGGCTGCAGACGGGGCTCCCCACCTCCACGGCCACAAAAAGACCCGAACGAGGCCGCTCGTTTTCTTTAATTCATTAGTTCCCGCCGCGCCGGGCCGTTTTCCGCCTCCCGACGCGGACCCGCAGCCGTTTCGCCAAACTTTCCACCACCGCCCGATAAACTTTTAACTCCTTTTGTTTCCGTGCACACGGCCCGGGTCCCACGGTGCAAGGACGCGTCTCTGCGTCGGAGCCACTTGCACCGCGTTCACCAAGAGTTGGGCCGCCCTGGTCCCGCAGGAGCCGGGCTCCGCGCCCCTTGCGCGCCCTGGGGACCCCCGGATACCCCCGGCCGGCGCCCCCCGCTCTCCAGGCTCCGGCTCCCGCGGCTCGTGCCTGGTACCGGGCCGCCGCCAGGCCGCGGCGACAACGGGCGAGGCCGGGTCCCCCCGCGCGCAGGGACCACCCCCAGGCCGCGGCGGGGTCGCCCGGCTTCATTCCCGCGGCGGCCACGAGGAAGGCCGGGCGGCACCGGCTTCCCAGCCGCCTCGGGCCGGGCCCCGGGACCCCGCAGGCTCCGCGGTCCACGGCGCCCAAGGGGCCGCCGGCGGGGCCGGCCTGGGGGGCGGGCCGGGGGTCGGGGTCGGCGGCCCAGCTCCGTGCGCGCACCGCCCCGGGGCCGGGCTCCGAACAAAGCTGCCCGGGCAGCGGCCTCCCCGGCCCGCGTCCGGCGGGAGGTGAGCCCGGGACGCGTCGCCGCCGCCGCCGCCGCCGCCGCCGCGCTGGCCCGGGGGTCGCGCGGTCGCCGAGGTCGGGCCCGGCGTCCGTGCCCGCGGAGCCCCGGGGGCGGCGCGGGGTCTGCGGCGCGGGCCCCCTCCCGCCCCGGGCAGCTCCGGCCCCCCAGCCGGCCCGAGCCCCGCTGCGCCCGCGAGCCGCGCCCCAACAGCCGAGCCAAGTTTACTTGCCCGCAACTCCGCGCCGCGCGCTCCGGGGAGGACCCGCGTCCCCGCGGCCGGGCTGCCGGGGCCGAGCGCGGCGCACCGGCTCCGCGGCCAGCGGCGCCCCCGGCCCGCGGCGTCCCGTGCCCGGCCCCCCGCCGGCCCGACCCCCGCGGCCCCTCACCGTGCTCGGGAGCCCCGTCCGGCGGCGGCAGCTCCTCGTCCGACTTGAGGTGCTGGGGCTTGGCCTGCTTGCGCCGAGACATGCTGCTAGCGGCGCGCGGGCCCCGAGCGGGGCATCGGCGTCAGCGGGGCGGCCGGCGGGGACGGCGCGGGGCGCGGGGCGCGGGGCGCGGGCGGCGGCGGCTGCGCGGGCCGCGCATGGGGCTGAGCAATTAGGCTGGTGAATAATGCATGGCCATTAGCGGCGGGCCGCGCCGATTGGCCGGCCTCCAGCGGACTCGGCGGCCTATGCAAATGAGGCCGCGCTCGCAATTAGCGGCCGCGCGGGGCGAGGGGCGCCTGCGGGAGCCGGCGCGGCGGCGCTCACATCGCTGCCCCGGCGCGGCCGCTCCTCGGGGCGCGGGGCGCGGGGCGCGGCGGCCGCGCTGCCCGGGGCGCAGGCGGCAAACTTTGGCGGCGTCCGCGCGGCGCCGTCTCCGCCGGCGCGCCGGGCTCGCCCCTTTATAGAGCGTCTGCGCCGCCGCCCGCGCCCCGCGCGCGCCCCCCCGCCGCCCGGCCGCCCCTCCCGGAGCGAGCGGCCGCGGGCAGGGCTCCGGCCCGGCGCCTTTGTCTCGCCGGCCCGCTCGGGCGCCGCGCCGCCTGCGCTCCGGGCGCGCGGGGCCGGCCGGCCGGCTCGGCTCCTCGGCGGCGGGTCTCGCTGGGCGCGCCGGCCGCGCTCAGGCTCAGGTGCCCCCGTCTGCGGAGCGGCTCTCCTCCCCGGGCTCGCGTCCCCGCCGCGGGCTCCGCCGGCGCCCGGCCGGCTCGGAGGCTCGCGGCCGGAGCGGAGCGGAGCGCGCACGCCGGGGTGGCGGGACTTCGGCAAGACCAACTTTCCGGTTCGGAAGCGGCGCGGGCCGCGCGGCTCCTCCCCTCCCCTCCCCCCCCCCCCCCCCCCCCGGGCCCCTCCGCCTCGGAGCGCCCGCCCCGCCTGCCGGGCCTCCCCGCCGCCACCGGCTCCTGAAATGCGAGGGGAGGGAGGGGACGGCGGGGCCGCGGTGTCACCCTCCCCCCACACCCCCCCCTTCCCGACGGGGGCCGGGCCGGGGCGTCTGCGGAGAGGGCGGAGGGCACCAGGTGCCCCGAGCCGCGAGACTCAAAGTTCCGAGGCCACGGAAGTCCCGCGCGCGGCCCGCTGCGTTCCAGGACTTTCGGGGGTGACTTGCGGTGGGAGGTGGGCGCAGGTGACAGGGTCGCGCGCGTGGGGCCCGGGCCCGCACCCTAGGGCGGCCGGCGCGGCGCGCTCCCGCACACCCGCCCACCCTTCGCCCGCGCTCACACGCACGCGCCCTCGCGCCGCGCGCGCACCCCGCGTCCCCGCGCACACGCGCCCTCGCGCCCTCCCGTGAGCGCACTCGCGCGTGTCCTCCGTCCCCGAGCGGCCGCCTGGATGTGCCCCAGGCCCCGGCGCCGCCGCGCCCGCCTTGCCCCCGGCCCCAGTTTGTCTTTTTTCATTTCCTAAATTTCTGATTTTTGTCCTCACGAGTGGCCCTGTGTGGTGCGGAGCGTCGGCACAGATGGCCCCCCTGGGCCGTGCGCGGGGGGGCGGGAAGCGGCGACTCGCCAGCCCGGGGCGCCCGGAGGCCGCGGCTCCTCGCGTGGCCGGGGGTGGGGCTCTGCTTGGCTGCGGGAGCCCCCTCCCCTCCCCGGGACCGACCCCGACCCTGCGCTGCTCGCCCAGCTCTCCGCAGGCTTCTTTCCCGTTCTAGAATCTTCTCGCTTCCCAGCCTGCGTTCTCTCGCCCGACTCTAATTGTGTAAGTTTCACGAAGCAACAGCTTTGGGCTCCAGGAAAGCGCAGGGAAACCGTACGGAGGAAGGAGGCGCGGGTCGGAATCGGCTCCAAACGGCCCCCGCCGCCACAGTGGCCACCCCTTCCGACAACCCCAAAACCAAAACCAAAAATACCCCTTTAAGGTTGGTTTTGGTTTTTTTGCTTTTTAGTGGCGGGCATATTCATGTGGGCGATTTTGGTTTTGAAAAGAAAAAAAAGCAAATAAAAGATGTTTGAAGTCTAGGGCGCCCCCCCCCCCCGCTCTCACGGCCAAGCTGTGGGGGGAGGTGTCCTAGCCGCCACCCCGTGAACTTTGGCAAACGCTTCCAGCACTTTGGGTCGGTTCTCGCATCCGGCGCAGAGGCGCCCGGCAGTGAAGTTTGCCGCCTGCAGCCCGGGCTCCGGGCGAGCGGGGCCGGGACTCCGCGGCGGCAAAGGGGGGGGGGTGGGGGGCGTGTGTCGGCGGGGGCGGGGGGGCCGCTGTGGCGGATGGAAGTTTCTGGCAGATTCGCAGGACCGGCCAGAGTTGAGGGAAGTTGCAGAGCCGCCGCAGAAAGGTAGATTTCGGTGACGTCTTCCCAGAAGAGGAAAACGCACAACAGTCCTCGGTGGGTCGGACCCCCGGTTAAAGACGCACTGCTATTTGTGACCTGGCTAATTTTCTCTTTCTTTCCGGCTTTTTAAAAATCCACACTCTAAGCAGCAGCAGCTCTCGCAGGTTCCCGCCGCGCCCGAAGCCTTCGGAGGAAGCCGAGCCCGGCCGGCCCGCAGCCTCCTGGCCCCGCAGCTCGCTCTGCCTCCTGGGGCGGCTTTGCGCGCGCCGACCCCCACCTTTTTTGTCCGTCCCCCCCCCCCCCCCAGCCCCCCCCCCCCCCCACTGGCAGGATTTCCTCAGGTCTTCCTGGGACTTCCAAACGCAACTGCTTAATTTTGTCCACTTGTTCTGCATTTTCTACGAGGTGTGGTCCTGGAGAGGATCTTCCAGGTCCCTCCAGTGGAGGCACATCCGAGACCCGGCCCTTTATGTGTCCGAAGCTGCCCTCGCATCGCGGAGGCGTCGTGCTGGGCTTGGCGTGCGGAGCCGCGGCGCCGCGGTGGACGCGGGACCCGGAGCCCCGCCGCCCGCCTCGCCCGCCCCGGGTGCCCGCCCGGCGCGCAGGGCGCAGGGCGCAGGGGCCGGGCCAGCCCGCAGGCTGCACGCCGCCTCCGCGCGCCCTGCTCCGGGATTTCGTTGAGAAAACCGAGCAGTGGACGAAAGGGTTGGGGAGGGTGTGAAACGGGAACCTTCGCGAATTTCTCGCCGGGGATAAAACGGTGCAGATCTGTGGCTCACCCTTTTGAACACCGACTGGGGGAAACAGGATCAATGGGTTTTTTTAAAGGTCCAAAGCAAAAGGCGCATTACCTCACTTACCTGCTCTGCCTTCCTGGCTGCCTGCCCTCCACTGAGATCTTAAACTTTTCTTTAATGGTTTTTATTCAGTGCGGCAAGTTTTAATGGAAGCACATGCATCTTAAGCTTGAGTCACAACAGTAGATTTATTGCGAGGTGACAGCGTGTCAACAGCATATTTTCAGAGATGAGCGACAGGATTATCCGCCAGTCGCGCCTGGATTAAGGGCAACCACAGAAATGTGCGCCCGAGGTGCGGACACTGCTCCTGGGGCCGAACACACACGCTCACGGTCACATGACCGCTGCCCATTAAAATATTGCAATACCTAAGTACTCCTGCAAAAACAAAAGTTGCCTTTCTTCTCTGTAATTAAATCTAATTTGTTAATTGTCTTTCCTCTTGCAATGTTGTTTTCATCTTATGAGGCGACGTGTTATTTTGTCTTCTTAAATAATATTTACAAATGAATACTGTAGATTTTACATTAGTGGAACATATAATTAGGTGTTTGATTTAATTTGTCTCCTTTATTCAGATAGAAAGCCTATCTGCAAGGTGGATTTGACCAGGGGAGGCTGAAGAGTCGGTTCTGTTTTAACTTCCCAGCTTACCGAGGCTGCCTGGCTCTCCATCCACATAGCACGCATTTACCTGGGGGTCGTTGGGACTTTGTCGTGGGCTCATTTCCCCAGCCACTTCCTCCGGAAAAAGAATTCAAGTATCGGAGCTTTATTTTCTGTTTCCTTTCATTCTCTCCCCCACCCCCCAATCAAAGTTCTTGTCACTGGCCTTCACTGGCTTCTCTGCTTCCTCCCCTACCCCCAACTTTTGTTTTAGATCTCTGCCATTAAATTCAGCATGATTTTGTGTCTTTAATGCTGTGACAAGTGACCGCTAATTGGTTCTCACTTGAGCAAAGATATTACCATACTAATATTATTATTGGTAAGAAGAGGTAATTGATAACACCACCTGCCACTCCCGGGCAGTCGCGATGATAAATGTTTCCATCAACAGGAAATCTGTGCTTGGTGCGCCACAGCCCAACGCAAACAGCAGTCAAGGGCCAATTATAAAGGTGTTGCCTTTCTGTTACATGGTGGGGGCGCTAGGAAACATGTAGCCCCAAATTATGTTTATGGCTTTTTGAAAATGCTTTTTCCAAGCTTCCTGTTCACCCACTTGAAGATCACTTTCCCCTTCAAAAAAACTGTTTCCTTTAATGCACCAGTACACGACCGCCTGCCTTGCCCCGCTTCCACTCATCTTCTGCCGCCCTCGTGGCTGGCAAAGCTATCGAGGTAAATACGCCGAAGTCTGCAATAGATGGGAGCCAAGAGCATCCTGTGTAAATGCATCCAGGCCTGTGTGCTCCGCGGCACCTGTGTGTTCACCACAGGACGGCTTAGTACCCCGCCAGTAGGCATCCCAGGCAAACATTTCGCGGCTTTTTATGTCACGCGAGGAAGTGTGGCACACGGCCATCCGTCTTCACACTTAGGGATGCGAAGTTGGACTGTGTCTCCTGCTGCAGGCGGCCCCAGGAGGGGCACTTGGGCCCCTGTGCTGACGTAAGTAATGCTGGCCCGCTCCGACTTTCGCTCCTCGCTTATAGGGAAGCTCAAACGATTATTATTAGCTTGCATTATTAGATGCAGGCCTCAAAAGGCGAAATCAGCTATTGATAATTGCAAGAAGTATACAGCAGCTACTGTATCGATCGGCTTGTGCCTATTCCCCTGGTACGGGAGAGATAAGAAGACTCACTCTTTAGTGCAATATAATTTCTTTTGACCTATCTGCTTGCTACAGACTTATGATGAATAGCCAGAGTGGTTAAAGTCCTTTATCACGAAAGTTACCCCTTGATATAATAT